TCAATGTATCACTGACACGTCGTATGACCTGACACTCTCAGTGTGTAGGTGTTCGTTCAATGTATCACTGCGATTCGTATAACCTGACACCCTCAGTGTGTAGGTGTTCGTTCAATGTATCGCTGACACGTCGTATTACCTGACACCCTCAGTGTGTAGGTGTTCGTCCAATGTATCACTGACACGACGTATGACCTGACAACCCCACTGTTTATGTGTTCGTTCAATGTATCACTGCAATTCGTATAACCTGACACCCTCAGTGTGTAGGTGTTCGTTCAATGTATCACTGACGATTTGTATGACCTGACACCCTCAATGTGTAAGTGTTCGTTCAATGTATCACTGACACGACGTATGACCTGACAACCCCAGTGTGTAGGTGTTCATTCAATGTATCACTGCCATTCGTATAACCTGACACACTCAGTGTGTAGGTGTTCGTTTAATGTATCACTGACGATTTGTATGACCTGACACCCTTAATCTGTAAGTGTTCGTTCAATGTATCACTGACACGACGTATGACCTGACACCCTCAGTGTGTAGGTGTTCGTTCAATGTATCACTGACACGTCGTATGACCTGACACCCTCAGTGTCTAGGTGTTCGTTCAATGTATCACTGACACGTCGTATGAGCTGACACCCACAGTGTGTAGGTGTTCGTTCAATGTATCACTGACACGACGTATGACCTAACACCCTCAGTGTGTAGGTGTTCGTTCAATGTATCACTGACACGGCGTATGACCTGACACCCTCAGTGTGTAGGTGTTCGTTCAATGTATCACTGACACGTCGTATGACCTGACACTCTCAGTGTGTAGGTGTTCGTTCAATGTATCACTGCGATTCGTATAACCTGACACCCTCAGTGTGTAGGTGTTCGTTCAATGTATCGCTGACACGTCGTATGACCTGACACCCTCAGTGTGTAGGTGTTCGTTCAATGTATCACTGACACGACGTATGACCTGACAACCCCAGTGTGTAGGTGTTCGTTCAATGTATCACTGACACGACGTATGACCTGACAATCCCAGTGTGTAGGTGTTCGTTCAATGTATCACTGACACGACGTATGACCTGGCACTCTAAGTGTGTAGGTGTTCGTTTAATGTATCACTGCGATTCGTATAACCTGACACCCTCAGTGTGTAGGTGTTCGTTCAATGTATCACTGACACGACGTATGACCTGACAACCCCAGTGTGTAGGTGTTCGTTCAATGTATCACTGCGATTCGTATAACCTGACACCCTCAGTGTGTAGGTGTTCGTTCAATGTATCACTGACACGACGTATGACCTGACACCCTCAGTGTGTAAGTGTTCGTTCAATGTATCACTGACACGACGTATGTCCTGACACCCTCAGTGTGTAAGTGTTCGTTCAATGTATCACTGACACGACGTATGACCTGACACCCTCAGTGTGTAGGTGTTCGTTTAATGTATCACTGACACGACGTATGACCTGGCACTCTAAGTGTGTAGGTGTTCGTTCAATGTATCACTGACGATTCGTATAACCTGACACCCTCAGTTTGTAGGTGTTCGTTCAATGTATCACTGACGATTCGTATGACCTGACACCCTCAGTGTGTAGGTGTTCATTCAATGTATCACTGACACGTCGTATGACCTGACACCCTCTGTGTGAAGGTGTTCGTTCAATGTATCACTGACGATTCGTATGACCTGCCACTCTCAGTTTGAAGGTGTTCGTTCAATGTATCACTGACGATTCGTATGACCTGACACTCTCAGTGTGTAGGTGTTCATTCAATGTATCACTGACACGTCGTTTGACCTGACACCCTCAGTTTGTAGGTGTTCGTTCAATGTATCACTGACGATTCGTATGACCTGACACTCTCAGTGTGAAGGTGTTCGTTCAATGTATCACTGACGATTCGTATGACCTGACACTCTCAGTGTGTAGGTGTTCGTTCAATGTATCACTGACACGTCGTATGACCTGACACCCTCGGTGTGTAGGTGTTCATTCAATGTATCACTGACACGTCGTATGGCCTGACACTCTCAGTGTGTAGGTGTTCGTTCAATGTATCACTGACGATTTGTATGACCTGACACCCTCAGTGTGTAGGTGTTCATTCAATGTATCACTGACACGTCGTATGACCTGACACCCTCAGTGTCTAGGTGTTCGTTCAATTAGGAGATAAACATACTGTGTTTTCAATGTAGAGCTAGGTTACCTTAAGATTTAACCGCGCTAAATTGAGTTTGTAACCGATCGCGCAGCGTGAGGTTTCAAATGTTAAATTTAGCGCGATTAAATCTGTGAAGATACATCTGTGTGTTTAAGGTTGATTTTGACAGCCCGGGCCAAGTCGGACCCAACACTTCTGATAGAGACTTTGTTGAGAATGGAGAGGGAAAAGGGCATCACTTTGAGCACCTTGTTTTCTTTAAGTACAGCGATGTGAGACACTGTAAAGGGATATATATATGTAGATATAATACTGGTCTATAGATGTGAATCCATTTGATGATACATCTGTGAGGTTTAAGTTGCTTTTGACATCCCGGGCCAAGTCGGACCCAACACAAGCCAAACACTTCTGATAGAGACTATGTTGAGAATGTAGAGGGAAAGGGCTTCAATTTGAACCCCTTTATTTCTTTAAGTACAGTGATCCGAGGCACTATAATTTTTTGACAGCCCGGGCCAAGTCGGACCGAACACTTCTGACATAGATTTTCTTACGAAAATATAGCAAACGTGTTTGACTTTAACGGATCAGTTTTCTTTAAATGCGATGTACTGTGACATAATAAAGTTGTATATAGGTAGCTATAATACTAATTTATAGATGTAAACATATTTGATGATAGATCTATGAGTTTAAGGTTGATTTTGACCGCCCGGGCCAAGTCGGACCCAACACAAGCCAAACACTTCTAATAGAGACTATGTTGAGAATGTAGAGAGAAGGGCTTTATTTTGAGCCCCTTGTTTTCTTTAAATACTGCGATCTGAGACACTATAAAATGGTATATAGGTAGATATAATACTAATCTATAGATGTAAACACATTTGAAGATACATATGTGTGTTTTAAGTTGATTTTGACAGCCCGGGCCAAGGTGGACCGAACACTTGTGAGACTGTTGCGAGTATGAGGAGAAGAGGTCTACTTTAACCAACGTGTCTTCTTTAAACACGATGAACAGTGACATTATAAAGTGGTATTTACTTAGATATATTACTATCCTATAAATGTAAACGCTATGACGACAGATTGAAATTTGTATCACGACAGCTAGAAGTATTTGATACTTTCAAATCCTATTTCGTTTAACGATTGCTCTTTTACATGTTACCTAGATTAACGACGCTTACACACAGCTTAACTTTCTGGTTTTCAAGCGATTTACTCCGAATCACTTAATTATGGTGCACGTTTTTGGTTTGTGATTGTTCATTAATGTCCTGTGTGTATGTTGCATCAATAATATGTAGGTATGGTCGCCGATAATGGAGTAATTAGCCAATAAAACTTTGGCCCGTCTTGGCCAGGCCCGGCCCGACTTGTAGGCAATCCCCACGTTTTCTTCTCCTCTCCCTTTGGCAAACACCTCTTGTAACGGGTCTAACGAGGTCACAGATCATAGTACACTCATCAACTCGTCTGCAGGGGGCTGCTGTGAAGGGTGCGGGAGGCTGGCCATACATACTCTGGGACTGCAGCTTGATGCTGTGTTTTATAAGGCCAAGAGTAAGATTATCAGGACCACCACTGCACGAGATGCACGTGGGTTGTAGACGAGCCATTTCGTGATCTGGCCGTATTAGCTCATTTAGAATATGATGAAGGTTTACAGGTTACATGTAAACCAGCGCGAGCTGGGCAGCTGTGACCCGGGAGCTAAACAGTTTACACGTAGTGAAGCCCTCACAATAACACGTTGTGATCCCGCAGACAGACTTGTGTCGTCAATTGAAGAGAAGAAATATATTCTAAAGTTGTTGGCATTGTGTTGTAACTGTTATGTTGTGGTTGCTGTCATAATGTTGTAACTGTTATGCTGTAGTTGTCATCAGCTCAGGGCCCTTGGCCCCTCAACACGCAGCCCAGACATCAAATGGGACTTCTCCCAAGCGCTGCCTAGTCAACATTATGTCAACCCACCCAGACCTATTCGGAGAATGTGAAGACTCCCCAACACTGCAGACTTCTGCATTACCCAGATTGTCAGAAAGGCTGTGTTCCTGGTGGCAAACCCGGGTACTTTCCCAATGTCTGTCAACAGATTTGGACGTACCAAAATTTAGGCACCAAGAACATTGGGGAGTCAGACAACTTGGTACTTGTGATGCAAGCGTGATATTTCGAAAGCGAGGTCTGCATATTTGCCATGTTTTTCCTGAATCTTGTCAATCACATTAGTGTCAAAAGGGACAGAAAATTCAATGATATAAATGATTTCATTGGATTTATCAAAAAGGACAAGATCAGGTTTGTTGGCCTGAGTAGGTCTGAGGCTGCACATTGGCCTATTCCAAAGGATTTTGTATTTATCATTTTCCATGACGCCCTCTACATATTCCGGGTCGTACCATGGTTTGACCTCTGTGTCAAAACTACAAGCGTTGCAAAGACGGTAATAAAAGGATCGACCACTCAATCACGTCGATTAAGATACTGTGTTTGTGCCAACGCTTGGCATCCACTGACAGTATGTTGGACAGTCTCATTAAATTAATTTCATATTCTAAATTTCCTATTTACATTTTGATGCAAAATCACACATTGACGGGTTCGAGTACGAAGTGACTGGTCCTGATCAGCAAACAGACAGCCTGGTGACAAAATACGATTCATCTTGGTTAAATAGGAGACACCATGATGGCAGGATATGATTGACAGGTACAAGATTCCCGAGAATTACACATGTAATATGACATCATTCATTATTTTTTCAGGAAAAAACTCAGAACAGAAGTTGTTATATTTTATCTCTGCAGGAGGAAAATGATAAACGTACACCCAGCACCACGGTTACCTGATAAGATATTGACACATGTAAGGGACGGTCCGTGACAAAGGTAATTTATTCAACGTTGTTTTCCTAGTAAGCTATTTGCACGAATACATATTCAGTTCCCCGTGAAAGTGTGCTTATGTAGATCAATAAGAGTATTTCAAACAGCCCAGAAGATCAAATGAAGTGTTAAATGAAGCTTGTTTAATAGGTGATTTATTCAAATTCCTTTGTAAATGGGTTGGTGAGTTGTCATGATTATATGGCTGAAATATTGCCGATGTGACTTTAACTATTAACTCACTCACTCACTGTCATGATTATATAAACTATACATAACAATATTTACAAACATATATCAATCATAATGTGGCTGCAGATTTAAATATATTTCAGTGTATAAACTGTGGTCCTTCCTTCCCCATTTAGTGATAATCTGTGGGGAATTAAAACCTTTCATTTCTTTGTCTTTGCTTGACTTGGATCTCCAATCATTGCAATTTTCCTTGTTCCTTCTCTGTCAACATTGGTGGTTCGGTCCTTGGCTTCAGATAAAAAGACGTAAATATACTGCACTTGTTAACCTGTCTGGTGTACGGCATTACGGGGATAAAATAAGGACTGGTCGGCTCGGTTTCAGGATACTGTGTCTGAGTGGGGTAGGCATGTTAAACTGCGGCATGGATCTTTTAACGTCTTTTGGTATGACGCGGTCGGGGATCGAACCCCGGATCTTCCGCTCTCCGGGCGGACGCTCTACCACAAGACCACGGAGGCGGTCACCATTCGCAGCAAGGCGTGTCGAGTACTGGTGTTCTCGGCTCTTATGGTGATTGCAATCGTTCAAATATCAGTGTAATTAGAGTGGACTGGTAGTTTAGCGCCGTGTTATTCGAAAACGATTCAATGCGAAAACATTATAGCATCTGTTTCTATGTTTGTTGTTTTTGCGCCACAATCGGAATACTCCAGCTATATGACGACGGTGTGTAAATAATCGATCACACAATCATCTGATCGATATTGAAAAACGATCCACGTCGGTAGCAATGACACACAATCAACCAAGTCACCGAACCGTTCAACCCGATCCATTTGGTAGTCTCTTACGACCGGCATAGGTCGCCGTGGACCTATCTTACTCCTCAATCCGCATAGGGGATAGTCGAGGTTGGGTACCGTCATGTCAGCCCTACAAATAAGGTGAGGTGAGGTGAAATTGGTCAGTATTTTCTGACTCCGAGCCGCGCAGTCCTTGTTTTAGCCCCTGAATGCCGAGCGCCAGAAGGTGTAACAACAAGTACCATCTTTTAACGTTTTTTGGTATGACGCGGCCGGGGATCGAACCCCGAACCTTCCGCTCTCCAGGCGGACACTCTACCACTAGACCCCGGAGGTGGTCTTACAAATAAGGACTAACACACATGGTACCCTACGTGGTAAAAGAAATTATCTAAATTGCGGTGACAAACATGACAACCCTCACGGTGACAAACATTATACGTCTCAAGAGGTGACACACGTGAACAGTCATTGTGACAAATCAGTTCAATTTCATTGTGACAAACATAGCAACCATTCACATGAACAGGCAAGAACACACCCATGGGGAGAAACTTTATGAGCACAAACAAATAAAGTAAATGAGTGAGGTTTTTTTTATAAATCCGATTGGAACAGTACTTCAGTTTTATCACAGCGTGACAAACTTGATGTGGTATGAATGTCAGCTTATCAATGAATATCAAACCACAGATATAGACAGAAGGACTCTTATCAACATTGTGAAAATATTGCAAGTAATATTGACACTTTCTTTCCTTCTCCTTGCATTGTTATACTGACCCTGAGATAAGAAAACATCCAAATGAAGGTCGTTTGTGTACGTCAGTCATATGTGTACATAAGTCCACGAAAGTCTCCTCTGGAAGAAACTCCGCGCATTTTATGGCTGAAAAAAACTCATAAATGACACTCTCTTGAAAAATGCCTCCAACCATACATCTTTTATATAGGTCCGTGGAATGCACATCCTTGTTACAGTAAGGCTCACCTGCTGAGAGCAGCCCGTGTATAAAAGCGAGGCGAGTTATTTTGTTGCCGAGAGCGAAAATGTTTATGAGGTATTATGATATAAAAGATTAGATGTATTGGATAAATATGACTCTATTCTTTTACTGGGCACATATACATATAAGGTCAAACACCGTATGTCGATGCTGAGGGGACTACGCAAAAACTTCGACGTATACGAGGTTCGACACAACCAAATATGGTGCATTAAGAAGGAAAGCACAGGGCCTACGTTTTTTCTTCGAGACACATCAAAGTTCGAAACAACGGTTTTTTGCTTTGCGAGAGTGTTTGGGTTGAGATAGTATCCGGTTATATAACGGGACACCTTTTCACTGTAATGCTCTTGAAGCATTTAATACATAGAGTAATAGCTTGCTCATATGATTTTGTTGAGCAATGCGCAACTATGGATACGTCTTGGGTCCATCACTATCAGACAGATTCCAAAGGAATCCCATTGTTGGACTACCGCCCGAATGGTCAGACCAAAAGTGGCCAATATTATGCTTACCTGCTCAGGCAACTGCGGTCGTGGAAAACCCACTCAAGGTGTGTCGTTCACCCAGAACAATGCAGTCTGTTGTCATGGCTGCAAGGAATGACTGGCTCATTGAGCATCCTCCGTATTCACCAGATTTGGCACCGTCCGATTTCAACCTCTTCCCAAACTGAAATAGTGTCTGGCAAGCATGATGGCGCCGTTTCTGCTGTGAGCGCCGTTTGAGACAACCAGTTGGAAACCTTCTACACCATTGGTAGAAGTGTGTGGACCTCGGATGGGATTATGTTGAAAAATAATTAGCACCTGTCTCCATCAACGCAGTCGAATATAGTTAGGCTCAGAACTCTTCAGCTACTCCTCGTACATACAGTAAACCAGTGTTAGAGACCTCATGACAAATGTCCATACAGCCCGTAAAGTAAGAGTAGTTAAATACTGGATAAAGTTACTAAGAATCGAAGAATGTAGATATCCTCTTCAATGTTATAAAATTGTTAAAGCAGTTGGATGATAAAGGTAAACAAAACTGGGTATCTGAAATAAGAAATCTATTATTTACATATGTTTTTTCTTTTGTGTGGATTGCACAGGATATGGGAAACATTCAGGTATTTATGGGAATATTTAAGCAGCGAGTGAAAGATATATTTGCACAAAACTGGAACGAAACTGTTTCATCTTCGCATTATCTTTATTATAATAAACTAAAGACACATCTTCAACAGGAAATGTATTTTAATGTCTTACCAGACAAGTCATTAATAAGATTTTTTTTTTAATTTAGAATCTCATTACATAATTTTAATGCAAATATGTGTAGTAAATCGAAAGATATTGATTCTGTTAACAGTGTTTGTACCAGTTGTGACAGAGGTGAAGTTGAAGATGAATTCCATGGCTTATTTAAGTGTAACAAGTATTCCAAGTTAAGATGTGCATATCTCCCCTTCTTGAATAATGACTATAAATCTGAAATGATCAATATTATCAACTCACAAAATAAACATGTTCTCTTTTCAGTGGCGACTTATATAAAGCATGTTTTTTTCTATCAGATTCAAGAAGATGTAATTTCTGTATATGCACGTGCCATCATATAATGAGTTAGTATCAATTGTACTTCAGGCCATATGGCCACACTACTGAATAATCCTGTCTGTCTGTCTCTGTAAAAAAATTGAACTTTTGTTTGTTTAAAAAAAATAATCCATTTCCAACTGTTTAATTTTAGATTGCTTATGCCCCGAAATGTTAATGTTATTCACAAAGACAATCGATGTCCCGAAGCGTTCAGCTTAGGACGGCAAGCGAACCGCGCGGAACTATCATTCAAGTGAGCTCAAAACAAACCTGGTACCCAAAGGACGCAGGTTATGAGTGTAAATCCACAAAATAGTGACAGTGGTCTCCGCCTCGCACGCCAAGGGTAGTAGATAGCATTGCTTCCTGATACCAACTCTCTCCTATGTTGTTCCAGCTTTGATCAGACAAGGATGTCTTATGTCAGACAACACACACGAGACAACTCTAGGGACTATGCGTCGTTAAAATAAGTATACTGGTTAAATAATTTATTATTTAATGATAAGGGAATCGTTCAGTCTGAGTGAATACTGGTCTAGCTTTGGTTGCCAGAGGTATATAGCCCAGTTTTAACTTGTACCAAATCTACTGAAGAATTCTTTGTTTTTATTGTGAACTGGTTTGTTTTATAACTTAACTGTGATACATGACTTATTGTTTTACTGTCCTTTGTCGACGGATATTTAATCATAATTAACTATGTAAAATTTAACTCACTCACTCACTCACTCACTCTGAGTGAATACATTTCACTCTTATGATTGAAGTCGGTTAATGTTACCGGTGACGTGTGATGCCACACCTATACGTGCACCAGGAACCCCATCACTGTGTCAGAGAAACAAATATCACCTGTGTTTCTCGGGGACGCAGTAATAATCCAACAAAGGCGCCTTGGGGTTCACCTGTCATCAACGAACATAAATTATTACACATTGGCCGCATCGGAGACGTAAGATGAGAAGGACTTGCAGCAATAGGATCCCTGGCTATTTAATCATTATTAAGACGCTACGTCTTGCACCGACATCGGGTGGACACCGTGGAAGATTTAAATTAATCCACAAACGAGGTGTGGGGGTGGGGGTCCTGGTCGGGGTGGGGGGAAGGAGGAGGGGAAGGAGGGGGGTGGGGTTGGGTACAGGGACCCAAAATGTTATTGTATATCTAATCCCTAGTTGGTTGATATACGTGCGGCCGACACTTAACTAAATTGGTAAGAAATTCAATCAACTAGATATACAATAACATTAGAGGATCATTTTGGAGTCCTGTATTTAGAAGTCATATCGAAGTTTGCTTGCTTCTTGCTTGGAAGGAGTAAGAATACCAGGAAAACATGCTACCATTTACAAAGTATACTCTTCAAAAAAGGAAACGCAAAACGGATATTTTTGGCCATAAAAGCAAAATAAGCGGACCAAGAGGTGCAAAATGTAGAGGTTTAATGTGTGTCAGTGACAAAGTTCCCGGATCTAAATAATCACAACAAGGACATCAACCGCATCCCAAATACCCGGACTGCGGAGAATCTCGGACCAGATCGTAAGAAACAGTTTAAGAGAAGCAGGTCTACGAGCAAGATATCCTGTTCGACGCGTCATATTGAGGCGACAACATCGTCATCAACGACTGCAACGACTGCCGAAACTGCGTACAGGAAATGGACAGGTTTGGTGGGGGTAGCGTTATGATGTGGGCGGCTATCTCTCACCATGGCGGGACAGGTTTGGTCCATACCCAGGGCAATCTGACGGCTCAACGATACATCAACCACACGTTCTCCTAATTGCAGCCAACGGCAACGGTGTATTCCAGCAGGACGACGCTCGACCGTATACAGCACGGATCACGAGAGCCTGTCTACACAACAACAACGTTGATGTTATGTCCCCTGGCCCTCCAGATCTCCGGATTTGAACCCGATAGAGCATCTGTGCGGTGAATTGGAAAGATGGCTTCGCCGACGTCAATCACGACCCGAGGCGTTGCAGCAGTTGGCTTTTGCATTGCAGACCGAGTGGACTACCATTACCCAGGATGTGGTGCGGATACTCGTCTCTTCCTTGGGCATATAAGGCCGCTATCGATTCCAGTGGGGGACATACGCGTTATTGATGTGTTCTCTCCTCAACACTTTGGCTCAATATTTTATACGGTTCCTCGTATAAATGTATTTTCCTACCTCTCAGAAATCTGGCTTTGCGTTTCATTTTGTAAAGAGTATATACTGCTGATGGAAAAGATGACATACATGACTTTAGCATCATACAGATGTCGCGAATTGGACGCCACCGTAGATAAACAGGAATACTTCTTCAGTATCGGTCTTGCCTAAATGGTCTGGTAACTCGATCTCTGCTCTGCTGCTGGGGAGTTGAGGAAAGTCTTTTTGTCTGGTCTGATACACAGCTCTCTTCTTGGCAAGGCTCGCTTAATACAATGTAACACTGTCATATCTGCTGCATACACTCAATGTACTGGCGATCCCTGCAACACACATGACTTTACCTATGGCACCTGCAACATACAATGACTTTACCTGTGGCACCTGCAACATACACAACTTTACCTGTGACACCTGCAACACACAATGACTTTACCTGTGGAACCTGCAACATGCACAGACTTTACCTGTGGCACCTGCAACATACACAACTTTACCTGTGGCACCTGCAACCTACACAGACTTTACCTGTGGCACCTGCATCACACTATGACTTTACCTATGGCACCTGAAACACACAATGACTTTACCTGTGGCACCTGCAACATACACAACTTTACCTGTGGCACCTGCAACACACAATGACTTTACCTGTGGAACCTGCAACATGCACAGACTTTACCTGTTGCACCTGCAACATACACAACTTTACCTGTGGCACCTGCAACATACACAGACTTAACCTGTGGTACCCGCAACCTACACTGACTTTACCTGTGGCATCTGCAACCTACACTGACTTTACCTGTGGCACCTGCAACATACACTGACTTTACCTGTGGAACCTGCAACATACACTGACTTTACCTGTGGCACCTGCAACATACACAGACTTTACCTGTGGAACGTGCAACATACACTGACTTTACCTGTGACACCTGCAACAAACACTGGCTTTACCTGTGGCACCTTCAACATACACAGACTTAACCTGTGGCACCTGCAACATACACTGGCTTTACCTGTGGCACCTGCAACATACATTGACTTTACCTGTGGCACCTGCAACACACAATGACTTTACCTGTGGCACCTGCAACAAACACTGGCTTTACCTGTGGCACCTGCAACATACACAGACTTTACCTGTGGTACCTGCAACATACACTGACTTTACCTGTGGCACCTGCAAAATATACAGACTTTACCTGTGGCACCTGCAACCTACACAGATGTTACCTGTGGAACCTGCAACACACACAACTTTACCTGTGGCACCTGCAACATACACTGGCTTTACCTGTGGAACCTGCAACATACACTGACTTTACCTGTGGCACCTGGAACATACACTGGCTTTACCTGTGGCACCTGCAACATACACAGACTTTACCTGTGGCACCTGCAACATACACTGACTTTACCTGTGGCACCTGCAACCTACACAGACTTAACCTGTGACACCTGCTACATACACTCAGTGTTCCTGTGATTCCTGCTACATACACTCGGTGTACCTGTGATTTCTGCTACATTCACTCAGTGTTCCTGTGATTCCTGCTACATACACTCGGTGTTCCTGTGATTCCTGCTACATACACTCAGTGTTCCTGTGATTCCTGCTACATACACTCGGTGTTCCTGTGATTCCTGCTACATACACTCGGTGTACCTGTGATTCCTGCTACATACACTCAGTGTTCCTGTGATTCCTGCTACATACACTCGGTGTACCTGTGATTTCTGCTACATACACTCAGTGTTCCTGTGATTCCTGCTACATACACTCGGTGTTCCTGTGATTCCTGCTACATACACTCAGTGTTCCTGTGATTCCTGCTACATACACTCAGTGTTCCTGTGATTCCTGCTACATACACTCGGTGTTCCTGTGATTCCTGCTACATACACTCGGTGTACCTGTGATTCCTGCTACATACACTCGGTGTACCTGTGATACCTGCTACATACACTCAGTGTACCTGTGATTCCTGCTACACACACTCGGTGTACCTGTGATGCCTGCTACATACACTCGGTATACCTGTGATACCTGCTACATACACTCAGTGTACCTGTGGCACCTGCAACATACACAGACTTTACCTGTGACACCTGCAACATACACTGACTTTACCTGTGGCACCTGCAAAATATACAGACTTTACCTGTGGCACCTGCAACCTACACAGATTTTACCTGTGGAACCTGCAACACACACAACTTTACCTGTGGCACCTGCAACATACACTGGCTTTACCTGTGGAACCTGCAACATACACTGACTTTACCTGTGGCACCTGGAACATACACTGGCTTTACCTGTGGCACCTGCAACATACACAGACTTTACCTGTGGCACCTGCAACATACACTGACTTTACCTGTGGCACCTGCAACCTACACAGACTTAACCTGTGACACCTGCTACATACACTCAGTATACCTGTGATTCCTGCTACACACACTCGGTGTACCTGTGATGCCTGCTACATACACTCGGTGTACCTGTGATACCTGCTACATACACTCAATGTACCTGTGATTCCTGCTACATACACTCGGTGTACTAGTGATTCCTGCTACATACATTCGGTGTACCTTTGACACCTGCTACATACACTCAGTGTACTTGTGATTCCTGCTACATACACTCGGTGTACTAGTGATTCCTGCTACATTCACTCGATCAAAAGAAATAATGATGTAAAAAATATAATAACTAAGATCTAGCATTGAATTGATTATGCCAACCGTTAAACACAGAAATCCCAATCATAATAATGTAAACAAAAATATAGACTTCGAAGGATGTTTCTACTCAGTTGTTTTACCTGGTGCAAATACACGGAATCATTCTAATACATGGAATCATTTCTTTCTATAAATTTTCATGAGTTGTCTCTGAATTACTAATAATGTCCAGCCATCCCGGTGTGACAAGACGGCGAAGATACTTCAATTCGTGTATTCCACCAGTGACCTATTCGCCGCCAATCGCCAATCGTGCCAATCTAAGTGCAGGGATAGTCATAGGGTCAGGGTCATTCCATGACTCCTACATATTGACAGTTGACCTGTCAGAGGGATTAGCCAATCAGAAACCAGAATGTGGCGTAGAGGTACGTTGGGACATGACAGTGGTCTTGACATAATACTATTTCAGATAGCACCGCCCAGTGCAGCCTAAATCTCCCCTTTGCGAAGGTTCCGGTATGAGATCACTGTCCCACTGTACATTCTATAATCTATTAATCTTTTTTTTAAATCTCATTTTAGCGGTATAGTTGATCTGGTATAACACAAATATTAAATCCCTATGAGCAGTGGTGGGTATTGAATCTACATGTTGTTATACATTATATTAACTTGAGAATGCAAATTTATCCAAAATATTCACAAATATCGGAACATTGAATTGTTTATAAATTATTGGCAAAAATAGTCACAATCTCATTTGTATTTAACCATTGTTTTTTAGGCATCCCGTGACGCTACTTACACATGTCAAGCTACATCATGTTCTCCAACAGCCAGAGCGACACCTCTCCGTGCGACGTTTACGCCGTCGGGTACAGGGACACAAGTCGTCACGAATCGGGAGAGGATAGGATATTTCCGAAGATTCGTTTATCTTGGAGATAGATCTTCATAGCGAAGTAGTCAATTGTTGAATTAAGGTGTGTGATATCTACACTGTTGTTTTGGTGTTTATATATGAATGACTAGTTTGGAAAAAAATACTGTTCCAGTGAACTCATTTCTCGTTTTAAGTCAATAAATGTTGATATATATGAGAGCACAATCATTGTACAACAATGAACGCTTTAACTACTAGGCACACACACAGTCGGACCCCACACTGAAGCCTATGTAACACATGTGGTGTCTCCTTCCTCTATAGACGCTTCCAGGATGACTAGGACATAAAGGCTGTCATAGGTTACAGGGCCAATCTGCAGATTCCATAAAAGTGGTATTAAAAGCTTGAAGGTCAAATGGAATAAGTGTATAGGGGTGAATGGAGATTGTATTGAAAACTAAAAGTGCAAAAGATATTCTGCGACGTGGTCTTACATTGAAGTTGCAAAACTTATTGAACGTCAATGGCAGTTGCAACTGGACTTCGACTGACAACCTGCCTGGCACGCGCATCTCGTGATCTTGCCGATCTTGCCGATCTTGTCTCTGTCGATGTCAGACTGGAAAGTGACGCTGGGTTGCACTGATGCATCTTCTGTGATCAAACCAATGGTAGGTATATCAGTATACCGTTACCGCAATGTCAACACACGTCAATTGTCAGAAAGTCAAATACCTTTGGTGAGTCAACCAACAGACATCAGAGGTGAGTAAATCTTGTACCGAAGATGATTTAACAAATGTCTGAGGAAAGTAAACCATTACCCGAGGCAATGAAGCCAATATGTCAAGAAAATAAACTTAACCGAGGGGCACACGAAAGCGGAAGCGTTTTTGCTTTATGTTATTGAAAATTGAAACAAATGTTGTGAAATTTTATAATGTCATTGATTATTAAACCATTCCTCGTTCATGGAACAGTTTGTATAAAGTATTATGTGGCTTGATAATTTTGTGTAAAATACATTACTTTAATGACGACTGGGGTTAAGAATTTGCAGTCATATTATCTGTAACATGTTTGAAATGTAAATTTGTGCCGAAAAAGGCAAATTTATTGATATTCAAAGAAATGATAGCTAACGTACCCATCATCAGTTATGTATTCTGCGAATTGTTTTTTTACATATATTTTAAAGTTTTAAATCAGATTATATTTAAAATAAAAGAGCACGTACAAGTAATCTTAGATTGCTGACTGAGCGCAAGTCAGTTCATTTTTGATATATATATATATATATATATATAAAATTATATATTTAAGATATACTGTATTCAATTTGAAAATCAAACATGATAAAATCATCGGAGTTGTATGGCTTATTTGGCAACTCAGTTTATCTTTTTAAGGCGAGCAGACAGACGCGCATGTACGGTTTATTGTATACAACAAACATGGAGAAACTAACTATTGTAATCCGGTGATTGTGTGCCACAGCAGATCTTCTAACACTGTCTAGTATTATCTTAAGAAGGTATAATAAGGCTATGTGGAGAAACTAACAATTGCAATCCAGTGATTTCATGCTATAGCAGACATACGCATGCTAACTGCTGCAATACGATTTGATGTAACATAATATATGTGGTCTGAGTAATGATTTAGTCAGAAATTATTTGTTCTCTCCGTAGTGGTTCTTCCGGGTTGCAACTTATCTCCCCTTTCACGGGTTTGCTACCAGATGGCGCCGTCGCGCAGACTAGCGTGTTCCCAGCTTTCAGTTCGCCGACTACGCGACCTGCTGTTTTAATGCAAGGCGGAGTTTCATTATAGCAAGAACGATATCAACTGTGTCGGGGTGAATAAAGTATAGCGTGAAGGCGTACTGAAAGTGAGATGTGTTTATAACACTTGCCATTCAAGGGAACTGCAATGTTGAATGTTGATGTATTGTTTACATTGAATCTTTCAACGACACACCCACGGACAATATGCACACAATTACACATATGTGTATTTAACATGGGATGCACAGTTAAACAGCTATGTACATAGTGCATATGAACGCAGTGATTGTTCGTTTGTTGTTTAACGCCGCACTCAGCAATACTCCAGCTATATGACGACGGTCTGTAAAATAATCGAGTCTGGACCAGACAATCCAGTGATTGATAACATGAGCATCGATCCACGCAATTGGGATACGATGACATGCATCAACCAAGTCAGCGAGCCTGACCACCCGATACCGTTAGTCGCCTTTTACGACAAGCATAGTCACCTTTTACGGCAAGCATGGGTTGAACGCAGTGGCATATATGAGTACCTATGCTTGGTGTACAAATCCACACGTTTTCACGAGGTAGTGTAAATGCATTTTTACACTTATTTATATTTGCCTCGTGTGTATTTTAGTCATGCTATTTTTGTTTGTTTCTTTGTTGTTTAACGTCGCACCGTTGTTTCAGCGGTCTGTAAATAATCGAGTCCTGACCAGACAATCCAGTGATTGATATCATGATCATCAATCCACTCTATTGGGATAGGATGACATGCATCAACCAAGTCAGCGAGCCCTTTAAGGCAAACATGGGTTGCTGATCGATTAAGACCTATTCTACCCGTGATCTTCACGGGTCTTTAGTCATATTAACGCATGGCAAACATACATATGTAAGCAGTTGAGTTGGGTTGACTGGGGAAGGGATAGTCTGTTCTGTACTATCCTGAAGAAGCTGACCAGTAAATCCAGCTGGGTGCTCAACATCCACGGGTTGACATATACTTGATATACTAGTTTAAAAAAACATTCGAGCTCTCGATAAAGGTAATATATTCCTTTTTTCGTTCGGAAATGTCAATCCATGCCCGTTCATCAAACGTATCATCCATAATCCTGTCTCACCAAACCACACTCCTCTCTTTCTGATATACTTGTATTTGACCAAGAGGGATTGCTGTTGATAGGATATATGGAAAATAGCTATGTTTCTTCTACGAAGCGTTACAAGTGTTTCCATTAGTGAGTGAGTGAGTTGGGTTTAACGCCGCTTTTAACCGTATTACAGTTATATCGCGACGTGTCAGCTTAATGTGGGAGGAAAGCCCGAAGTGATGCAGGTCTCAGACGTTTACTATTCGGTGAAACCCACGAGCACGGGTATGGTGCTGACAAACCTAGAAACATAATCGGGGCGAACCGGAATTCGAACCCACAATCATTAGTGTCTGGCGTGCCCGTGTTTCCATGATGATAATCGATGGTCAAATGTTAAAGGATTACAAATATACAGATGATGTCAGTGCATGAACGCGTTGTAATTATACTATTTACATACATGAATATATTTACACCTATTACATGATTACGTACATAGGTTTCATTGTGCATATGAACATGGGTCTGAGACCGCCTCCGTGGATTTTTGGTAGAGCTTCTGGGATTCTACAGCTACGTCATACCAAAACAAGGCAAAAACAAGGACTGGTCGGCTCGGAGTCAGTATACTGGGTTTTAGAGGGGTATTTATGTTAAACTGCGGCAAGGTATCTCAGCGGGCTTGCACTATAAAATCTGCCTTATTCCTGACGAGCACGAGCAGCTTCACACACACACACACACACACACACACACACACGTGGATGCACGTCGCTATATAAGTGCAATAATCTTGAACGCGACGTTAAACCCAATTTCACCTTACCTCACCTCTGGGTAGTTTAGGTAGGTCAAGGTGAACTATTTCCTTCAACTCGTGTATTATAGCACAAAGTCATTTGAAACGTCTTTCTCTTGTACAACATTTGGATCAACAGTCTGTTGGATTGTCATTGTTCCTCTATCACGTCATGCGTGCATGCACGTCGCTATGTAAGTGAAATAATCTTGGACGCGACGTTAAACCCCATTTCACCTCACCTCACTTATGAACATCCTCTAAATGACGTAAAAGCACTATACATCGCACAGGACCTATCCGACGTGGTGGGAGCACACCAGCATGTATTATAGTTGTGTCAACATGCGACATAGCTTTGTAGTGAGTAAGTGGGTTGAGATTGACGTTAGTTATATCAGCCGATCATCTCAATGTGAAAGTAAAGTCCAAAGTGATGCATGTGGTTTAGCAATTTAGAAAAAAACAAAGAGCACAGATAGTATGCACACAAACCACGAATCACAATTAACTCGAATCATGATAGTAGATTCTGGGACGCCTAGGATCGTAACTCCGCATATCGGCGCCTTGAAACTGACTACTGGGTTATTACAGCTAGAAACCGTTAATTTGTGTCCTGTGTCATATCAGGTCGTACGTGAACACGCGGCACTGACCTTTTGGCTATCCATACTCTTCAAAAAAAGAGAAACGCAAAGCCAGATTTATGCGAGGTAGGAAAATACATTTCTATGGGGAACCGTACAAGATATTGAGCCAAAATGTAGTGGAGAGAACACTTGGTGATATGTAGTCATCTCAGTTATCGGTTCATAGGAAAAGTTTAAGGTGAAAGTCAGCTACCATCAATAACGCGTATGTCCCCCGTCGGAATCGATAGTGGCCTGACATCTCCTGTCCATGGACGAGACGAGTAAGCGAATCACATCCTGGGGAATGGTAGCCCACTCGGCCTACAATGCAAAAGCCAACTGCAGCAACGTCTGGGGTTGTGGTTGACGTCGGCGTAGCCGTCTATCCAATTCATCGCACAGGTGCTCTTTCGGGTTCGAATCCGGGGATCTGGGGGGCCAGGGGAGATCATCAACGTTGTAGTTGTGTAGACAGGATCTTGTGATCCGTGCTGTATGCGATCGAGCGTTGTCCTGCTGGAATACACTGTTGCCGTTGGGCATTTGGTAGGATAATTTCGTTGATGTATCTTTGAGCCGTACGATTGACCTGTATATGGACCAAACATGTCCTACCATGATGAGAGATAGTCGCCCACATCATAATGCTACCCCACCAGACCTGTCCACTTCCTGTACCCAGTTTCCGGCGTAACGTTCTCCCCGACGTCTGTAGACCCGTGCTCTTCCATCCCCTCGACGGAGGCGAAATCATGATTCGTAGCTGAATCAGACATCTCCTCATCGTAGTTGAGGTTATACCCTGTGTAGACGATACCAATGCAGTCATTGTTGACGATGTTGTCGACCCCGTATGACGCGTCGAACAGGACGTTTTGCTCGTAGACCTGCTGCTCTTAAACGGTTTCGTACGAAATCGCATTATCAGAGGTTCATAACGGGAAAGAGAGGTCACTCTAATTTCTATCGGGAGCTATCTCCGTTGTTTTCGTGTTTGCGAAAAATGGCGTCAGTCGCGCTGAACGTTGTCGTTGGTCCAATTATTAATTGGCCATCTAATCTAAACCGTAAACCGATATTTTTAATTCAATGTTTGAAGGCAATATATATTTTTCTTCTTCTTCTTGCAGAAAATTAAAAACGGTGCTTGCCAATACAATTAATAACTCGTAAATATTCGTTTTCAACAAATGTGGGCCCACTTTATTTTCTTAATAGAGATGACTGCAGATAGTTCTCATATGTTGAGTGTAACATGTACATCTTCTTTGGTTGGTTTGGTGCTGGTAGCAAGTTTCTAAAATGTGGGCCAACTTTTACCCCGTCATATATAGTGGGCCCACATTTGTATAGGACTACAGAAAGCTTTATTAGGTTGGCATATGGTGCTGAAAATCTATTTCTAAATGTGGGCAGGCATAATTTCATAGAGACTGCAACAGGAAGGACCACATTTTTAAATCGCTAACCTTCATTAGGTTGGCTCACTTATAACCATTTTCTAAGATGTGGGTCCACTCCTTACGTGATATATATAGTGATCGACACAGGTGGGCCCACATTTGTAAATCGCTAGGCTTCATTTGTTTGACTAAGTCATTCTGTGGGCTCATATTTGTAATTATTTTGTATGGATAAGTAGCAATATATATTGTTCTCATTTTGTTATATTGATAGGAAATGTCTTTAAAATTATTAGGTGTAACGTTACCTCCGCGATAGGTACACAAAGACTATGAAGTTTCAATAACGTCATTAGGTGATCACTCTCGTTCCAAAACTCTCGTTTGCAAAAATAGTCACAACGCAAGAAGCGTACTTCAAATTAAATGTGAGAGACAATACCATAAAACCTACGTTTTCCAATATAACACATCGATTTAGTCATAAATGTCGGTGGCGATATAAACCTGAAAATTGTGTCTATACTTGAATCGAACTCGGTCATGACCTCAAACAATTCCCGGGAACTTGTTCCATAAAAGGAATAACTCATGAATATTAATGACGCCACGACATAGTTCTGATTTAGTTTCTGCGCATTTGTACATTCTAATCCAATTAAAAGTCACAATACTCATTTCAAATAGACGAAATAGTAGTTCGTAATACAGATTCTTGACGTAGTTCATATCCTCTACAACAAGTGCGTTTAGTTTCGAAAGTGGGCCTACCTCAAACTTTCGATTAGGCAAGCGGAGTTAGCTCCCGTCTCGAACCGCCGATACTGCGGTGTCTCACTGGTCGGAGATTCTGCGCAGTCCGGGTATCTGGGATGCGGTTGAGGTGGTTCTGGTCGTCCTTTCACGTGGGTGGCGCAGTCGGATGTAGCGATCTTGGCGGGGATGGTTACTCTTGGTCGTCCCGACCTTGGCCGATCACGTGTTGCCCCATGCTGTTGAAACCGATCCCATAGCCTTGTGATGGTGCTGGGCGCTACATTGAAAACCCTGGCTACAGCTGATCGGGTTTCCCCTGCCTGCAAGCAGCATATGACGTTGTTTCTTTTCACTTCTGTTAATCTTGGCATGTTGTTGAACTGCCACTCTTCGATTGACGCAGATACCAGACAATCAAAAACACTGGACTTTAATACCGTTCACAGTGCTGCTGCACTTGCAGTTCGTGCAACTCCATGACCTTTTTGTTAATGCACTGGGTACGTTTTAACTAATCCTACGTGGTTCCCTACTAATGGTTAGCATGTCCTTGTTGTGATCATTTTGATCCGGTAATTTTGTCACCATCACTCTAACACGTTGAACCTCTTCATTGTGCACCTCTTGGTCTGCTAATTTT